CTTTAGATGACAGTAACTCATTATTTTATGCATTTTCCTTTTCTTAACTATAATTATCCATATGTTTTATAATTGAAAAAGAAATTGTTTTGTAAAATAAATGTGTTGTTAAATTTGGATTAGAGTGGTCAGGTTAATTGATAATTTGCTGGTTGTCATCTTCTCATTTTAAACATGTTGATGTGTTTGCATTTAATCATATTGTTTAAATCAAATGACACCATTCCCTCTCTTGGACTTTTTGGCTCTGAATCTGTGCTTTGCTTCCGCCACAGCTGACAGCCTGCATCCACGGGTCCGCCGCCATGCTCTACCCCATGTACTGGCAGCACGTGTACATCCCCGTCCTGCCGCCACATCTACTGGACTACTGCTGGTAAGACTGCTACTCCCCCTGCTCTTCCTCCATGAGCCACCCACCAGTGTTAGGTCTGTAACTTGTTCATGCAGTAAGTGACTATATTAAAAACACCTACTTCAAAACAACATTTGGATTTTAGATCGCTCAGTTACATGAACCTCTTATTTCCAAACAGCTTTCCTATGTGTCTTCATGGCATTCCTAACAGTTCACAAGAGCAGGTGATGCTTTTCGCATTTCTTAGTTTGGGGAAAACCGGAGCACCAAGAGGTTATGTGATTTTTACACCCCTGCACCACACACCCTTAAGACAAATGGAGAGGTAGTGACAAGAACAACTGAGATCCCCGAGGTCTTCAGACTCTCCATGTCCTGACATGTTCAGAAGACTTGCCCTCAGCTGTGGTTTGGGAGCACAAGCCAGACTTCAGAAGCCTAGGAAGTTTTTTATTAGAATTTCACTATTAAGTGAAATGTGTTTTAGAGTTAGCTCTTTACCCTCCTTGAACAAGTCATTTGGCTTCAGACTTTGTTCCCTTAACTGTAAAATAAAGTTTTTCAATACATAATCATGTAAAGATGGAATGAGAGAACAGATGTGAAGGATGCCAGGTAGGAAAGCTGGTTTGTTGTAAGTTACTCCGTAAATATTTCTGCAGAAGTGTCATCATCATCACTACCTTTGGTAGATTATAATAATAATATAATATATATAATAGTAGAATATAATAATTTGGATCTTTTTTCATTATGAATTTTATTCCCTCCATGTGGTGTGATTTTTGGTCTCCAAATATTTCAAATGAACAGTATTTGGTTAGGAAGTACTGTACGGATGTCAAAAAGGTTTCTACCTGCCTACTAGGTACAGAGAGCTTTGGAGCTTCAGAACCATTTGATTCATGGTAACACTGTCACTAAGAACAGAAGATTCAAGACATTTCCTGTTGGTTCAGTGATAGACTCCAAGCCAGCCAGCTTTTTGCTATGATCTCCAGCCCACTCTCAAATGATCTTCATCTCACTGAAAAGATCCATACAAACATTGTGGTAACAGAAAGCCTCATCTCAAGAAACCGTGGGCGTAATAGCTTGAGGGCCTCAGTTTAAAACCCTTGGTCCTCCCTAATGCATAGCACAAATTGAATTGGCTCTTCCCTTCCTCCTGCATCTTAAAAGGTTAAAGGACAATGTGTTTCTGACCATGTGAAGTTGGTAATCTTGGTCTATTTAAAATTTCCTCTTGACTCAGCATATAGCTGAGCTCCACATTTTGTTCACTATGTTTCTTTCTATCTTCATTTATTTTTTTAAATTCTCTTTAATCCTATAGTGACAGCAGTACTGCTTGCTGATTTAGGTTTAGTTTTTTCATCTAGAAGTGTTGCTGTGTACCATCGAGTCAAAACCAACGCATAGCTGACCATCTAGCAGGTTTTCAGAGGCAGTAAATTACACAGGAAGAGATTGCCCATCTTTCTCCTGCAGAGCAGCTGGTGAATTTGAAGCTTTGAACCTGGTGGATACAAACTTTGCATTGGCAGTGCTCCTCGCCATTAAGCCACCGGAGCTCCCTTTCTGGAGTAGGGAGGAGATATTACCATTCTTACAGATTCAAAAGGATAAAAATATACACTCTATAAATTAATTCACAGATCTTTTTTTTATGTTTAAGTACTTGGGCTTCCAGGGAGTAAATGTGAAGAAATACTCCCCAACATCAAGTTTTCTAACATCTTGCCTTTGACTAGGGGTTGTATGGAATGTTGAGCCCGCTCTAAATTGAAACTAGGTCCAGAGTGAAGATTGTCTGGCTGCTCTCCCCACTGGTATGGGCTGGTACAACTTCCACTCTGTCATTCGCATCGTAGGGCAGCACTGAGGAGCCTCCTTCACTGCCCTGCCTCTGTTGTCCACCTGTCTGCCTCCTCAGTGTGCTTAGAGGTCCACATTGCTTCACACTTCATTTCCTGCCATCCACAGTGATTCTAAAATCCACACCATTGGTCTCCCTTTTCTCCTATTGTGTTTACAGTTGCTGTAGTTGGTATCTGTGTTGTTGTTGATTGCCTTCCGAGTTGAGCATGACTCATAGCGACCCTATGAACAAAAGGCCTGAAGCCTTTCTGTAACTGTTGACGTTTTGGAAGCAGGAGTGGTATCTAAAGAGATGTCATTTCCCTCCGTTACACCACACAGGAGCACAAACAGGATGGGCTGAAGGAGGACATCCACCCCCTATTTACCCTAAACCCTTACATCCTCCTATACACTCTGGCTCTCCTTTCCCACCATGCGCCATACTTACAGAGGGACTTTACCCTCTGTTTTGGTGAGAAGTGAAAAACTGTCTGGTCTGTCTTTATTCCTATTTTCTTCCTTGTCCCCAACAAGTGTTACATGATATTTGTCCCCTCTTCCCTCCTCTGAATCTGGAAGGACAATCTGACCAAAGTCATTGATTCCACCTTGACATGGGTTCTGTCTCCTAAGAATGCTCTGGAACTCATCTCAGACCTCTCACCCTCTGGCATCAATACATTCTCCCCTTCCACCACCCTCCTCTTTTTCCTACAAAGGAAGGGAGTACTCCACTCCATTCCTCTAACTTTACCTCTTCTTAACTTTGCTGTTTTCTTTGAGCATCTGAATCAACTACCTTCCCTTTTTTATTACTGTTTCTCTCAAAGAAAGGGGCCCTATCCATGTTTGCTGTTGTTTTAATGAAAGATTTGAGGGAGGAGGGGCCAAAGGAGGTAAGTGGAATGAAAGGGTAAAAGAAAGAACAAAAAACACAGCCAAGGAAGGTATAAGGAACAAAATGGTGAAAAGGGATAGAGAGAAAAGGAGAATGTAGAGAAAGGAATATATGTCCACCATAATATATACAGAGAGTGACATCCAGCCCCTAAGGGCATATCAAGCCGATGGAAGTGGGCTGAGAACCCAAAGATACGGTGTTCAAATCCACAAACTACTCTGGGGGAGAAAAATGGCCAATTTTCTCTCATACAGATTGAGAGTTAGAAACTTGACAGAGTAACATTATGAGTTAGGATCCACTCAAGAGCAGTGGAGTTAGGAACAAACACCACACACAAGAAATACAGGATGTTCATGGGTGCATACACCCTAAACAAATATGACCTCCAATTCACAAACATATAAAGCTCCCCCTACTCACAGCCACAAAGACACAAGTCCCTTTCCTATAGTCTCAGGCCTCAGAGAGTCCCCCAAAAAGAGAAAATGCTATCTCCCTGCACACCGCATCCCAGACATGTGCTTTAGAGGAACACGCAGACTTCTCTCTTGAAGAGACTCACCTGTGTGTCCTGGTGTCATATGCTTCAGACTGGAATCTCACAGGGCAGCATGTGCAGGAATTGGTAGAACCAAGATAGTACAGATTGTCTCTCTGCCTCCCACGTCATACAACTTTAAATGTCTATTGTTTAGAAAGTTTGGTTTGCTTAACTGTTAAAACTAGCAGCTAGCAACTCATTCACAGAACTGTAAAAATGAAAATGCTGCCTAAGTAATATCATTGCTAACAATAGTTGCCATTCTTGGACATCTCTCTTATAGCTTAATCTCGTGTAATTCTTTCAGCAATTCTGTAAATCAAGGATTATCCACATTTACAGATTAGGAAACTAAAGCCTAAGAGGATTGATGGCTTGTACTGTACTGCATGGTTCTATTTTTGTGAAAACAAAAAGTGTGAGGGTGTGTGTGCGCGCATGTGTGCTACAAAAATTGGGGGAGGAAAGGTGTATAGAGAGAGGAGGAAAATATTACAAAGTGTTAAAAGTCATTTGTAAGGAAGAGGTGGCAGAGAGATTCTGGGTATTTTTCTTTTCCCTGTTTTCTAAAAGTTCTGCAATGAAAATGTATTCTTTTTATAATTGAAAAAAAAATTTTTAAGTCAGTTGTTTTTTGGGGGTTTTTTTCCCAGCTGTCATCCTAGCTTACAGCTCTCCTTTCCTTTTGGTTTTTTTTGTTGTTGTTGTTTGGTTGGTTGGTAGGTGGGTGGTTGGTTGGTTGGATTTTTTAAGTGTGATTTCAGCAAAAGTTTACTGAAAAGTTAGATTTTCATTTAATCATTGTTGCATAACTCCCCCCCCCCCAAATTCACTTTACTATGCACCTGTTATTCTGGACTGTTGTCATATAAATAATGCCTAATCATATATTCCTTTTAAGCAGTTTTTTCCTTCATCTGCTCCAATGCAGTGTTCGTTTAGCCCCTCTTCTCTTACTTTCCCCCTAACCTCCATGTCAGTCCTAATAGTGGTGTTATACAATATTTGTCCTATTGTGACTGGGATATTTCACTCAGCATAGGACATTATACTGAGTGAAATATCACCTTTCTTTTTGATTATAGAATTGATCTTTTCTTCTTTTTGGTAGAAATTGTTCCAAGATCCTTTTTTCCAGTCTGTATCCCTCTGCCTGACCAAGGACAGTGATGCTCTTAGGCCTCACTCAGAAAAGAAATCTTGGGAAAGAAAGCTGCTTAACCCTTGTTCTTGTTGTTGCTGGTTTCTCCTGAGTTGATCCCAACTCATAGCAACCCCATGAAGCAAAGTAAAATTGCTTCATAAGGTTTTCTAGGCTGTAATCTTTAGAGAAGCAAGTTGGCAGGTCTTTCTTCTGCTAGGTTCTCCACTAGGTACATTCATACTGCCAGCCTCTCGGCAGCTGAGTGCTTAGCCGTTACACTGCTAGGCCTTCTTTCCTAACCCTTGTCACCCCAAATTCCATTACAAAATGCAAAGTTTGCCCCTTCCCATGTCCGAGCGGGCTTTTAGATGAGGTACCATTTTGGAAGTGCCTGTGTGTATCAGAGCAGTCTCTCTTCTGGTTTTTTGTGTTCATGAACTTTTAAACATTTAACTAAAGGACGATTATAGGCTAAATGAAACTAATGTCTTTAAAATGTGAGGATGGTAACATAAAAGACCCCAAGAGGAAAACATGTCCTGCAATGAAGACTTGATGTGATCACC